TTTTCACTTTTAGACAAATTGGTTCTATGCTTAGGAGGTAATATACTATTTTGTATTTTTTTTTTCACGTACTGGGTTGTGCACTGTGCTCGTCACTTGCTAGTTGCTAGTTCTGGATGATTCGTCACACTTTGACACTTCAACGTTTCTGTGCGATATACAAAGAGACCCAATAAATCTGAGCACGAAAATATGAATATTATTAATTAATGTTTTGCAGTGGTGCCAAATTTAGACAAGAACGAAAGCATGATATCTAACCATTCAACATCGAATGGATTTTCTATGTGGACAGATTAGATTGCTTGATTCTTAGTTAATATATTGGGGAAAAGTGATTCTAAAATGCAATAATCTTATCAAAGAATAGTGGGATAGATAGATGTCACAAGTTATACAAATCTTTCATAATTTTCCCCAACCCTTTTTCTTACAAAAGTGGCACATTCTAACAGTGGAGAAGACAAGGACTAGAGAGTTGAAAGTGACACAACCAAGAATCACCAATCACTTTAACCAATTATATTGGACTACACACTTTGGTATGAGAGGAATTGCATTATGGTGTGTTGTCAACTACTCAATGTGTAAATGTAGGAATTTCTTTGGCCCACCTTTGATGGACCATAGGATCTTTCAATGAAAATCAAACACAAGTTGCATGATTGTGACTATGAAATGGTCCTTTATTTATTTCACATCAATAAGGTTAAATGCATATACTTCTTAGGTTCACCCAACTTGGTTTTAGGGTTTGGACTAGATTTTTTAACTTAGCCGGCAAATATTAGCTACTTAGTCAATGAATTGTAGGTGAAGTGTAAAGAATTAATTCACACTTAAAAGACTTTTACGTTACTCGTAAAAAAGTTTGCTACGTAGTTTTATAAACACATCGAACATCATTCATTTACAAACAGTTCTAAAAGTAAGTTTTACCAAATATGGTTGAGCGTCATCCATATATTAAATGAGTATTATCAGAGACGTTAGTTTTAAAAGAGGGTAAATTGTATTGACTACTTCTAAGTCATCGCTCATTAAACATGTTGAATACTCCTTTTAGAGTAAATTTTAAGACCAACTTCTACTCAATATGCTAGTAGAAGATGTTATTTCATGGTGAGTTCTTCTTATATTATTTCTCTTGTGAACATATCTAAGGTATTCTCGTGTTCACATGGGGCAATGTGCAAGACAAAAGTGCTGCAATTATCATGGTTTCACTATATGCAATTATGGTGGTTACAGGGGTCCCAATGTCATTGATCACTCCAGTTGATAATGATCATGATGGTGCTATAAAGAAAGAGACCAAAGTTTCCAGGTTGTTATCAGAAGTTGAAATTGTCAGCATGAATAGGGTCAAAATGTAATTGATTTTAATACCTCTGGGCCATAGGGAGAGAGACCAATCATGGCCTGCAAACCTGTTCTTCTGTATATGATGGAAAAAAAATATTCAGTTTAACCATTTCTAAATTTTTGGGCTTTATGATGGATGGAGACTGCGAGGACCATTCCAGCATCCCATCATGTTATCTTATAATATCTGAAATTTTGTGTGGGTAGTTTTTCTATCTACACCTCTCTCTCTCTCTCTCTCTCTCTATTTTTTTTTCTTTATTTTATTAGGGGAGTGGCCGGGGGCGCGGGCGGCTATCGATTTTACTTGCGCCCGAAAATGGTGACTTGTTGGTACAATTAAGGATGGAGATAGATTTTACTCAAATATGCTTGGGATTTTTTATAATCCATTTAAATTATAAATGGAAATAAATGAGTGGTCGATAATTTTTTTTGTTAATGTAGGAACCCGCAGCCATTATCCGTCAGCAGAACCCCGACCACCTTGAAGGGGCGGAAGCCCGACCACTGTGAGTGTGCACTAGGTAAACTCAGCTCCATGTACTACTCCCGCAAACCACACATGAGAAGTAAACCACACTAAGCAAGCTCAGTGCAACGGGCTTGACCGATGAAGTATTAGCAACAGATTCGAACTCGTGACCTTTGGTCTCTGCGTTCACCTGGTCCACCAATTCGACGACCCCCAAAGGGGATGAGTGGTTGATAAATTAGTACTATGGAATATGGATCTCATAAAATGTGTGGATCATAAATTATTTGAATTATTTGATCGATTATCAATAACTTATAGATGGGGCCAATCATTCCATAACTCCAAATTGTTTCTTTTCGTAATCATACAATTCAATAACTTGCACTTTTACAATAAAAATTTTGTCAATTAAAAATCTTGGAAGTTTTTCCAGGAAACTTGACCGAAGATTGGCATTTTTTCATGCTATTGTTCGGGCTTCGCCTATTGCCCGGTTTTACACTTCATTTTGGGCCTGTTTCGTTTAATTTGTGGGCTTATGAAGCTGGACGGACAAGTAAAATATGTGAGCTAAAATTTTTTGGGTAATGTCAAAACTACCTCACCTTTCTAAAAATACTCTCCCCTCTACAATGTTTCCAAAAATAACTCATTTTTCATTAAAATCAATTTTTGCATTTACATCATTTTATAGTTTTTTTCAAATATATATTTCCTTAACATTTAAAATCCATATTTTTATTTTTCATTAAATACCAATATTTTTTTACGAATTACATATCATGGTAACGCATGCACTACTATTTTGCTGGTGGAGCATAATTAAAATATTTCAATTTTTAGTTAAAAAATAATATTTTTTGGATTACATATATGTTACTGTATATTTTGGGATTAAAAAATATACGGTTTAAAGTATTGAAAATATACATCTCTTTAAACTAGTTTTTAAAAAATTATTACAAAATCCAGAGCAAAAAATTCTACAGTTGTCTTTGTCTTCCACTCGATTGGACAAGATTTCAATCTCGTTTCTAGCCATTAAAAACCTTATAAACTTAGGGTTCGTTTGATTACAAATGTGAAAAATGGGTGAAAAGAAAATATTTTACAGGAAAAAAAATTTGTCTAGAAATTGTTTTACTGAGAATTGTAATTAATTGTGTTCGATTGGTATAATTTTTCATGAAAAATGTTGAAAGTTTGGTGTCCGTTTGACTTCTTTTTTTGTATGAAATTGTCAATTAAAGTGATTTAGANAAAATTGTCCATTAAAGTGAGAATATTTTCTACCATTGGATTTAGAATTTGTTCCAATTGCCAAAAAAAAAAAAATTGAAAAAAAATAATCATAACGAATACCATTCGTTTGACTTTGTTTTGCATGGAAATTGTCAATAAAAGTAAAAATTTTTTTACCATTGTGTTTAGAATTTTTTCCAATTGCCAAAAAAAAAAAAAAAAAAAAACTGAAAAATATTTACCCACAAAAACATCAAGAATTTATTTTCTTCAAAAAAGTGAAAATTTTGGAAAGTTGGAAAATATTTTCTCGGGAAAATTTTGCGTATCAAACACTATAAAAGTTGGAAAATTCATGAAAAATGTGTGCTATCAAACGGGGTCTTACAATATAAACTTTGCAATCCCAACCAAAATAATTGTGGAGTACGATATATTTCAGAAGATCATTATAAAGTAAAATATTTGTAAAATAACACTTTTGCCGATCGCATAACTGAAAAAACCAAAGATAAATTCATATATGTACAAAATTGCAACAGATCAGCACACGAACCACCGCTCGCTAAAAAATAGAGCAATTCAGAAGTTGAACTAAAAAATAATTATGAACGTGAGATCGATAATAAGTAAAAAATAAGGATCTTTAATACTAGTGCAAACAGAAAAATTTGGTGTGAGTACAATTTTCATAATACCCCTGTCGTTTAGGGTTCCTTTGGAATTGGTACCTATCATTTCAATTCAATTATTATTAAACTCATTTCAACTTTCTGCTGCAAAAGCTACCCTTTTTGGCCAAGGGACCTATTTGAAGGGTCTTTGAAAAGTAAAAGAATTATGTTTGAGATGATTATACTTTTGAATACACGTGGATACTTTTTTGATTTTTCTTTTTCTGACTATAATAGTTTTTAAATGAATATGTCTCAAAGACAAGTTTTTATAGAACTTTTGCTTTTACTTCTTATAAAAAAGTTTTTTTGAGAAAATCAATTTATGTCCACTCTTTTTAAAAACTCTTCTAATCAGATGAAATATGTTTAGAAACTTATCCAAATAAATGAAATGCAGCTCCTCAATTTTCAAGAAGCAGAAGCAGGAATCTTGTCAAATGATACTAAATCCATTTATTTGACTATTCGAAAGTAGTGATGGCAACGGGGCGGGGGTGCCCGTCCCACCCCACCACACCATGCCACTCCCCCTTCCTGCCCCACGCCCAGCCTTAGATGGGACGGGGCGCAGCGCGGACTTGCCAAGTTTCCTGTCCTTTTTTTAATTTTTAGTTAAAATACAAATTCAAAATTTTAAAATCCAAAGCAAATAACGTTCAAACTAACTATATCAATATCCATAGCAAGCACTCGAAACAAAAAATGTCCAAAACAAACAATGTCCAAAACAGTTTTATTTTAATTCTTCAGGAATGCCCCTCCCAGCCCGCGACCCGAGGTGGGGCGACGAACCTCGCCCGCCCGCGCCAACCCGTTAAGGGGTGGGGCCTAGCGGAGATGGGACGGGACGGAGCGGAGCGGGGCGGGGAAAATTGTCATCTCTATTCAATAATTATTTTAATCGAAAAAGACGATAATGATATTCTCTCTCTTTATTTATTTAAACTTGATTGTATCTAGTCTTTTCTGTTAAGCATTTACCGTTTTAACTTTTAAGAGTCAAATAAACGAATTTGGATGGAAACAGTGGTTTTCACATTAATAGGTTGAATGGGGTTAATAAATCCTAGATTGAAAATATAGGTACCAATTCTGCAGGGACCCTAAAGGATAGGGCTATCGCGCAAATTAGTTGTATAAAACCCTTTCTAACCCTAGTCTCTCCAGAACCCTCCTCCCCAATCTCTATTTCTTGAATTAGACACTCTTTTGAACCCTTCACCCCAAGTTCAATCAGAATGGAAATTGCAGACAATATAACCGATAAGAATAACAGTAACAATGGCGGAGAAACGGAGGAGAATCCTCGGACTAAGCACAAAGGAAAGCACAAAAAGGACAAGCCATGGGATAACGAAAACATCGACCATTGGAAAGTCGAAAAATTCGATCCTTCTTGGAACGAAAGTGGCATGCTCGAAGTCAGCACCTTCTCTACTCTCTTCCCCCAATATCGAGGTTGCATACAGTTTCTCGTTTTATTTCAGTGTTTTTAGTAATTTTAATTTCTTGTATTTCTTCTACAATCCATTTAATTTATAGCTTGCTTGTTTCGGAGTTCTATATCGGTTTACAGTTTTGTAATGCTAGGTCGGAATGCTAATTAGGTAACATTTTTTTTTTTGTGTGGGGGGAGGGAGGGGGCTATTATTTTTTTAAGGGCAATTTAAATGCACAACCCTGGCAGTACATTGCAATTAACCATTTTTGGAGGTGTAACTGTAATGTGCCATGGTGTTGATTGACCTTAACAAAACAAATGTAATAGAGGTGCTTTTAATGATTTGGGTAATACTCTTGTTTGGATGTTTGTTATGCGGTCTTTGAATACAAGAATACACAGTCCTGCCGCTTGGATTTTTTTGGGGTGTGTTTGCGGGTGGAGTTGGGGGTTACTATATTCTTTAAGAACACTCATGATCACAAGTTTTGCGCATAGATATTTATGTAAGGAAATTTTAGCCTTGTTCTTCACGCTAAACTCGTATTAACAGAATAAGACATTATAGAAAAAAAAATCCTAGAAAGTATAACTTTTGTCAAAGTGCTCATTTTTGGACATTGACCATCTGATTCTCACTTAGCTTTCATGCATTTTCTTTTCATTAAGCATGGAGCTATAACTAAAGAAAAAAAGGAATTTGTTTTTTGATTTTTAAAAGAGGTACTGATGTTGTCTTCTTGTCGATAAAAATTAATCAGGTTCTTAATCTTTTCGATCTGTCTTGATATTTGCAGAAAAATACTTGCAAGAGTGTTGGCCGATTGTTAAAGGTGCATTAAAAGAACATGGCATTGCTTGTGAATTAAATTTAGTAAGTATTTCCGTATTCGTCACATCAATATGACCACTGGTAGTTGTTAAGGTTTTTGCACGGGGAATGTTGAATGCTGAAAATGGCCACATGGCTGCTAAAATGAATTTTTAATGCTATTAGACTAGTTTGAAGCCAAAACAAGAAACATAAGGTGGTTCCACTTTTTTCTGACGTCTGAAATCTTATTCATTCATTTCTGTGCTTTAATAATGTATTATGTCATGGTTTTGTTTTAGGTTGAAGGATCCATGTCTGTTTCAACTACTAGGAAGACTAGGGATCCTTATATCATTATTAAAGCAAGGGATCTCATTAAACTTCTGTCAAGAAGTGTCCCTGCGCCTCAGGTTACATATCCTTCTACGCTCTTTCTTCAATTATTTACCAAGTTGCCTCTCCTTTTAAGGATTTATTCTCAGAAAAAAAGTGCTGAGAAGTATACTTCTGATATATCATCCATGCGAATTTCTATTTGCCTATGTCCCAATCATCAAATCTAAAGTTTCTTGCCTTTTCAAATGTTTATTTGTTTTGTGCTTCTATTTAACATTGCCTTAGCTAGATTGAAGTGCATTAAATAAACATCGACATCCATACGGTCAGAGAATTTTAAGGAATTATTTCACTCCTTATATTCTTTGAAATTCTTTAATTCTCAATTGGAAGTGCAAAAAATTCAATCAATTCCAAGTATCTCACGATAATTTGATCTCATAGGCTATAAAGATCCTAAATGATGAGATCCAGTGCGACATCATTAAGATTGGCAACTTGGTGCGCAACAAGGTACGTTTTTTCCACACCTAATTATAGGGAGGGTGGGGGGGGGACCCATTAATTCAAATCTAATTCCGTTCTTGGGTCTTAGCTTTAACTTATTCACCAATTAATTGATGTGCCCAATCATTGTTGCTTAGTAGTTCATTTATGCCATAACCTTTGATCATGATGTGGTATTTGGATGTCTAATGCACACCATTCTCGTTTGAAAGTAGATGTCTTGCAATTAATATGTAGACAGTCCCTGCATAGTAAATATTGGTGGAGTCAGAATACACATCTTTGCTCCGATAAGCCTGTAAAAATTGTGGCGCGGAACATCCTCCTAACCAGTGCCATCAGCATACAAAGAGAGAGATACTTGGAGGGGTAGGAGGCAGAAAGAAAAGAAAACAAAAAGGGGAAATATATAGATAATGAATCTGTTAACTTGTTATACTAAACATAGTGATATGGGTAAATATTTGGATTATATTTCGCCAGAATCTCTTCTAAATTTAGGATTCAGCTCTTAATATCTACTGCTGTCTGCAGGAACGATTTGTCAAAAGAAGACAGCACTTAGTCGGCCCCAATTCATCTACTTTGAAGGTTTGTATGTGTAACTCCTCTTAACTGATCTGAATGAATGATGATACAGGTATAAATAAGCTTAACTTAATACTGTAAAGTTGCCATTGGAAACCACCATGAACCTTGGAATTTATCGACTAACTTGTCATATAGATGCCTGTGACACACACAATTACATCGTTACTCTTTTCATAAGCTAGAGAATAGCCTTGTTACATCTCTTACATAAAGCTAATGGTATGCAGGCACTGGAGATTTTGACCAAGTGCTATATCCTCGTTCAGGTCCAAATTTATGATTGTTCTCTCCTTATTTCTTGTTTCTAGTATATCAGATTATAATTTTGTAGTGGAAATTTGTGTCCTTTCCTGCTAAAATTGCAAGAAATTACTTGAATGTTTTCTGTTGGTAAAAGTAGGGAAACACGATTGCTGCCATGGGATCATTTAAAGGTCTTAAACAAGTGAGGAAGGTTGTAGAAGAGTGCATACTGAATAAAATGCATCCAGTATATAATATCAAGGTGAATGGTTGAAAACATCTGGGTGATTTTATTGGGAAATTTTATTACTGTTAATCTTTGCTGTGAGGATCTTATGATGTTTTGGCTCCACCGACCCAATCCCCCTTCTGTGAATATAGATCCTAATGATGAAGCAACATCTCGCTGAGAATCCAGCACTTGTAAATGAGAATTGGGACAGATTTCTTCCCAAATTTAAGAAGTACGAGATCCCTCATTGATGTTCATTTAGTTCCCGATACTATTTTCCAAGCTTCATTCCTGTGACAAGATCTAATAATTCCTTTGCTTTTGCGTGTCAGGAAAAATGTTAAACAGAAGAAAGTTAAGTCTAAAGAGAAGAAACCGTACACACCCTTCCCTCCACCACAACCACCTAGTAAGGTAAGTCGAGAATCATTGTTCCGCAAGGGACTAATCACCTTGTTATGACATACGCATCTTGTCAAGTCCACTTTTCTCTACAGCACAGTGCATTTGCTTGAAATGAAAAAAAAAAAAAAGGTTCATTTGGAAATTATGATGTGATCTGGAAAGATTGGAATATGAGTATCATAATGAGAAATTGTGGTCTCACATTTTCTTCATTATACCGTGAGGTTAATTGAAGTAATATTTCACTTAAATCAATGGACAGTATCATGCAAGTGACATGAGTTTGGTTATGAGTGCAGCTAGTTAATCCTTTGTATTTGGCAATCAGTTGTTTGGTGTCTTAAACATCTATTCCTTCATTAGCAATTCACATTTTAATTTTCCATTATCTATTGTGTCTTATTTAGATACGGTTTAATATAGTGTGTTCTTGAGATGCTTTAACCGATTGAGTCTGTTCTAGGCCACTATAATTTACTCATTGTACTTTGTAAATGTTAGGTTGATATGCAACTGGAGAGTGGGGAATATTTCTTAGCTGACAAGAAGAAACAAGCAAAGAAGTGGCAAGAGAAGCAAGATAAACAAGCTGAAAAGACAGCTGAAAACAAAAGGAAACGGGAGGAAGCATTTGTCCCGCCTGAGGTTTGAATATTGGAATGTTATATGCTGTACTGTGTCCCAATCTGTTGACTCTGGTTTTCTCCATGAATTTTTGTTGGGTTGTTGTAGGAACCTGTACGACAAGATTCCAGAGCTACTGATGACAAGAATGATGTGGCAGCCATAGCCTCGTCTTTGAAGGTAATTGAGATCATACTAACATTATGATGTGTTAAAGTAAATTGAATTGGTTCGCCTGGCTTGGCTTGAATCTGGTTCGACAGAAGCTCATCGAGATTGGCTCGATTTTACAACCCTACTTCGAGTAATTAGGACTGAAGTTGAATTTGGAATATATTATTTTTGTGCATTCATTTGATTCAGATTTTTTGACATTTGTTTTTTTCGCTTCAGAAAAAGGCCAAGGAGCTCCGGATGCAAAGATCTGCTGAGAAGATCGATGCTGAAGCATATATTGCAGCTTCTGAAAAGCCATCAGCCAAAAAGAAATCCAAGAACTCCTAAATTTGACACTTGGTGTACCAATATTATATTAATTAAAAAAAAATTGATACTAGTAACAAATTATTTTTGGTCAAAATGACTAGTATTGTTGTGCTTCTTTGAGTACTAACTCCTGAATTCATCATTACTCCAAATTTTGGGAGATGATTTATGTTCGAAGTGCGATGCAATTGCATCTTTGTTTCGTCATATTAGATATAGGTTTAGATCTGGTCCAGAATCACCACGCTAGTCGTTTTCGTTTACAATTATGGGATGAACAGTAATAAACGCAATCCATGTAACTAATGCTATTAATGCATTTGTTAATTCAAAGCAACGCCAATTTTATATTACTGATTCGGACTGGGAAAAAGCATTTCAAGTTATGAATTTTTTGAAACCTTTTTATAAGGCAACAAAAGTTAGTTCTGGAGTTTATTATCCAACTAGTAATCTTGTACTTTTACAATTAGTAGAAATTGCTGAACAGTTTTCATCATTTAGAGACGATCCATTTTTCTTTCAAATTATTTACTCAATGGAGGAAAAGTTTAAAAAATATTATGAAAACATGCCACTAATTTTTCCACTG